GGACGTGGAGCACTTTTGCGGTTGCGCTTGACCTGAAAAGAAAGCTTGCGACAAAATCTTGCATCGCCTCCTTTTTGGATCCAAATTTGGCTCCAAAAACGGGGCGATACAAGATTTCACCGCCGCTCAAATTCACTGCGCCTGCCAGCACTTTCAGACCCTGCAGCACGTGCGTGTCGTGTTCGTTTTTTTTTCCCCCGCCGCGTGCCTAATAAAAGTAGTAAACAGTAATACTACTACTTGCAACAGTATTGGTACTAATAATAATAGTAAGCTATGAAGCCGTTGCATTGGGCCTGGGCAATGAATGTTACAATAGGAGCAAGGGACGACATGAGCTCTTCCGAACAGTGACCTGGAGGTTTCCGCTAAGATGTGCACCAGAACCTGCCAGCAACTTTGACAAAACATTGCATGCAGACATCAGCCGTGGACCCAATTGGCAGTTTCTCCCAAAATAGGAGGACTCCAAAAAAACATCCTACTATAGTTCTTTTAGTGGGGACCCGAAAAAAAGTACCCTTAATTATGGGAAACTTAATAAAACCACTGTATCCCCTGTTTCCATTTCATTTTCCATTTTCTTTTCCATTTGATTCTCCATTATAGTAGCTTCCATTTTCTTTTCCATTATCCCTATATAACCCTAATTTTGGGAAAGCCCCCATTTACCCTACTTCGTGGAGGTGGAGCTGGAGTCGCGCGTTGCCTTGCTCAGCATTGTCACGGAGCACAGGCCTGAACGCGTTTGCCGAAGCCTAGAGTGGTGACAAACCTGAGTTTCAATGCACTGCAAGTAAGGAAGCAGGTGGACATAGGAAGCAAAACCCAGCTACGAAGCCATCAGTCTTAAGCAGCGTTTCGCATGTGCGTCATGCCTGCAAGAAGTTGCAGGGGCTCCGCTCATAGATAGTTGTTTCAATCGTTTCGTTTGTTTGGCGCCGGGGGTTGCTGTGCGAAGTGGATCGATGGAGCTGACCAGAAGGGCTATGTGCCATGTTGCCACAGGTGCCGCTGGCATGGGATACTCTCACATTACGCCACTTGCCTCAACACTGCACTGAGGCTTTGACACGCGAGCGTATGCTTCGTTCCAGCCTTGATTGATCTGGTAGTTTCCCAAAATAGAGGGGACCCCCATATAGACCCCAATATACTATAAAAAGGAGTCCCCCTAGTTCTGACAAACCCCATATACAGGAATTTACTTTGGCACGGCATGCGCAGTTCAATGCCGAGCATCATCCGCTACAATCAGAGGGCCATAAGAGCCGACCTCATTATTCAAGGGTTTTTCCTAGCATTTTTCCCCCTCTTTCCCTCTTTATTTTTTTGTTCTGGCACATACCTCGGCACACTTACCAGTACTTTCCGCTGGTATGATTGAAGCTGTCAATGAAGGAAAGCGTAAGGAGACCCCGCATATGGGGGCCCCATTTTAGCAGACCTTAAGGAGACTTAGGTAGGCCTTGAGGAGGTCTTAGGGCATCCTTAGTTATGGGTCCCCCTGATATGGGGGTTTCCCAAAATTAGGGGTACCATTTTAGGGGCCCCAATACTAAGGACTATAGTATTTTGGGGTCCATATTGGGGTCCCCTTGTTTTGGGAAACTACCATATGGGGCCCCAGTAGGGATTCCTTAAGTCTAGGGTTTCGGGTTTAGGGTGTCTCATCGAGCGGTGCGCGGGTGCTGAAAGATCTGAAAGCAGCAAGCGAGCACCCTGAACCCCCCCGCTGGCGCTCCACCCTCGAATCGACTCGACCTCCGCGGGTTTGGGGCTTCCTTGATCTCTGATCACGCTCCTGTCTTCTTGCTTGTTTTTTTACACCTATCTAGACGAGGCAGGCGGGTGCAAAGTTTGGGTTGGATCCGGCTTGAGGCCTCTATTTGTCTTGAAGTTGAGCATTGGCTGGAGGCCTCCGATACTTGAACGATACGGAACTGTGTAGACCAGGCAGGGGTAAGGTTTGGGCTAGGTCTGGTTCGAGGCCTGAAGTTTTCTTCAGATTCAGACCAGAGGGGTGTAATGTTTGGGCTGAGGCAGGCTCGAGGCCTCTAGCTTTCTGCATCCTTGAACGATTTGGACTTGTCCGGCGGGTGCAAGGTTTGAGAATGTTTGAGGCCTGAACAAGAGGCTTCCAGTAAAGGCCTTTGGGAAGCTGTGGGAAGCAGCCCTGGGTAGACGCTGGAAGCTTGGGAAGGTTTGGAGGCCATGGGAGGAGGTTTTTGGGCCGGGGCTCGAGGAGCCTCTGAAAAACTTTGTGGGGTCATCGCCGCGGGACTGACAGCTCCGTCGCCAGCGGGGGGCTTTTGGCTCCGGAAATGCTGAGCTCCCTCGCCTGCCAGCTTCGCTGCGTTCGCCCCATTCGATGCCCCCGGCCGGACTCAGTTTAGGGTTTAGGCTTTAGGGCTGGGCTGCGGTCCAAGGCCTGTGCCGCAGAGCTGGAAGTCCCCCGCCTCCTGGTTATCATTGGGAAGATTTTTAAGTATTTGCCACAATCCTTATATTTTCCCTAGACAGCCATAAGAATCTTTTTGAGGCGATGAGTTCTATCCCAAACCTTTAAGACAAGTTTCAACACTGCAAACTTTCGTCAAGTCTGAACACTCTGTGCCTTGAGTTTCTTTTTAGCCCCTAGCCCGACTGCAACAATGGATTGCAAGGCCACCTACTGCATGCGGCTGATAGAATCTTTACGCTTCACATGGCTACCAAGGAGGCTGCGGCGTATGCGATGTGTGCGTTGGCAAGGAAGTGGGGATGAAAAGGAGCACGGCCAGTGATGGCGACTTGGGCTGTTGAAGCTTCGTGAAGCTAAATGCCTTGTCGGGAGCACTCAGGTGAGCAGAATCTAGCGCTGCTGATACTTGATTGTGTCAAGTTTGCCAGCAGCCACGGCCACTTTACCTTGTTAAGTTGAGCATGATGCCTGCAGTCTTGGGCAACGTCTACGTTCTTGTCGCAATGTTAATGCTGGCAGACTGAGGCGAGGCGACCAAGGGAAGAGCAGCTTGGTAGGATCGGTGCTACACTTGCTTGGTGCTTCTGCCATTTTGTCTAGAGCGCACCAATCCCTTGTCAGTCTTCTGATGCCCGAAGCTCAGGTCATACAGATAGCTCGGGAAGGCGCCTCTGGCTTCCGGCACCCGTGCTCCGTGGGCATGCTGGAAGCCATTGAAGCCAAGAGGCTGGGCGACGTGTTTAGTTCCACGCAACATGTGTGATGCCTGCTCAAACTCTTTTTCTGGGCAGTTCGCTCTTAATCCTTGGATTAGATTTGTGAACAGATGCCCCGCATTCTGTGGCCGCTGCACCAGTGACAGTTTTCACAGGTGCCGGCTGCCTGGCCCACCGCTGAAGCGAATCTTGCCTTCAAGAAAGAGTGCTTGGAATTGCGGACAGAGGGCTATATAACCCCAATATTATAGTAGTTCCCATTTTCTTTTCCATTATCCCCTATATAACCCCTATATAACCCCAATATTATAGTAGTTCCCATTTTTTTTGAGATCATGGTCCTATGAGGTGCTCTGGAGGACATGTTCTTGCGCTTGCAAGACAGCGGATATCTGCTGCCCTGCCTGCCCAGCTATGCTATTCAGCAGCCGATGAAGAAGCTTTCTTGGGGCGTCGAGTTGAGTCGATCAGGTGCCGGGGGTCTGTGGTCATTGCCAGTAGTAGCAGGTCAGTAGTGATTTACAACATCGTATCAGGAATCCCTTAGCACTGGAAGTCAGACTCCCTCTGCTTGGACGCGTCTGGGCTTTTTGAAATTTGTGCCGTGCTGGCTTGGTCGTGGAGTGCCAATTGTGAGTGGGATTGCTGAATGCCTCGTGCTCAGTGCCAATTAAGTGTGGATACCACTAGCAGGATAGCCAGCAGAACCGCACGCTTGCTGATGACCCAATATAACCCCAATGATACACCCCATATTTAGTAGTTTCCATTTTCTTTTCCATTAACCCCTATATAACCCCTATATAACCCCTATAATATTTAGCAGTTTCCATTTTCAATAACCTCAATAAATACCCTATTATACTATAGTAGCTTCCATTTTCTTTTCCATTATCCTCTGCATAACCCCTATATGGACTTTGGCATAGCCTGCTTTTGCAGGCTTGGAAGCTCTGAGCCGGGATGGCGTCATCCAGCTTGTCCCGGAACGCAGGGGAAGCTTGATGGGTGTGTTTAGGGTTTAGGGTTTAGGGTTTAGGGTTTAGGATTTAGGGTTTAGGGTTTAGGGTTTAGGATTTAGGGTTTAGGGTTTAGGGTTTAGGGGGAAGTGAGGCACTCATGTGCCTGTAAGCTTGACTCACTAGACAGTAGTAGTTTCCCTGAACAGGGGGACCCCAATATATTATCGTCCTTATTACAGGGATCCCCCAAAAGGTATCCATGATTTTGGGAAATTTTCACAGGCTTGTGGTCAGGCTTGAGCAGCCTGAGGGTACACTGCCAGGTAGAAGTGCCATACAGCGGCAAAGCAATCAGACACAGTCATGTAGCTAGACATCCTACAAGCAATTCGCAAAGGCCACAGCAGCGCAAGGAAACATAGGGGATCAAGGAATCTGCTTCACGTGACTTCGGTTTGCATCTCGATTGCTGTTTTCCATTCTTGAAATCCCGAACCTCAAAGGACAGTTTTTTGCCGCCTGTCCGCCTATCGCAGACATGAATGTTTTCGAAGTTCGCTTTGACCAAGGCACTTCCGGAAGCGAGTCAAAGCAACATCGCCAAACAATTCGTCAGCTCAAAAAAGCCCTCAAGGAGTTCGCATCCGTGAAAGGCGACCCAGAGGCCGTGCTGAGCATTCGACAAGAAATCTGATGCCTACGAGTCGCTGTAGCTTCTCCAGGCTCTCGAGGATGCTCTGATACATCTTCAACACGTTGCCAGCGACCAAGCGTGTAAATCGAAGCCTCCTGTCAAGCGAGACGCGCCTCCTCGTGTCAAGCAAGATGCACCTCGCACTGTTTCAAGTCATCAATACAGTTTGCTTCGTGACTCAAGCCCGCTATGTTCATTGTCAGGAAACAGATTCGGTCCTGCGCCAGATGAAGGGTATCTGCCCTGATATGCAGATTCGCTACGAGAACCTTGGTCCAGATCAGCGCCAATTCATCATGGAGATTCCTTCGCAACAAATCAAACACAGCGGCAAGCCATCGCGGTATCCGGGATGCATCCAAGGCTTCACTTTATCAGTGCATGACAGTGACATGCAGGCAGCCAATAGCATTCTGAGGGCCACTTGTGTCCTACGGGTACTGCGAAACATGAGGCGAGGGGGAAGATATTTGAACGTAAAGTTGACCAGCATAAGATGTGGGACCTGTGTCGGCTCCAAGGTATGAGAGTGTGTCAAGGAAGGATGCGCTTGAAACGATCAAAATACCGGTCAAGAAGTGGTGGGTCCCACGCTATGTGGGAGACAACTTGCGGGACGACGACGTGAGTTGCAATGTCAAACTGGGGAAGCAGGCACGCATCGGTTCGAATGTTGTGCGGAGCAATCCTTGATAGCAGCATCTTTGAATCGAGGCGATGTGGAAAGCAGAGATCTATGTCAAGCCTTCGGGAAAGACCTTTGCCAGCAGGCGTTCCTTCCCACGGTGGGTGGATGCAGTGTGGAGCGCTATAGCCAGCGTCCCTGAAAACAACATGTTTCAGAAACGCGTGAAACTTGAGTGATGGGATTTCCAGAAGCTGCCGTCTGTCAGCGGCTTCACCTCCACCACCAGCGTTTTCCGCGCAGTGCCCTGCCATGCAGAGAAGCAGACAGCGAAGTCTGCTGTGGACGTAGAACCATGTACAACCCTGCCAATGAGTTAGTAAGGAAGTCACCTTGCCTCTCGTCACGGGTACAGGCAAAGTCTGGCCAAACGATGCAAGTTTTGACTTCACTTGACCATCCTGAACCCAAGACGCTTGAACAAAATGTACAGCACGCCAGCGCTGCTTCTCCCAAGAGTTGAACCCAGTCAAGTTCCCCATAACCTTAGTTTCGCGTGCAAGACGAACTTGGGAACTGCAGCATCATGAAGGCAGCCTAGGTAGGGGTGGTCGCTGACGGAGAGATGCCATGAGCTAGATGGAAGCCGGCTGAACAGCTAAAGACCATGAACTTGACAACTCAAAATGCGTGATTTTTACTGGGTTTAGCTGAGGTGTGGGAGTGCTCAAAACGGGGCCGCTAGGGGTGAATCAAGTACTATCAAGTACTCGTACAGTCATGTACAGCCATGTCTGCATGCACACACATGTGGCATGGCATGACAACAGTCTAGTGCAATATGACCTGTTGCGTTGGATCAAAGATTTTGAGACAGATTCCAGAAAACCAGCTAGAGCGTAGTTAGAACGAGGCATGCTATGGTCTTGCTAGCTGCGCCTCTGTAGGAGGCAAGTACTGCCCGCGTCATTCACGGGAGGCCTGAATAAGGACGCCCTAGGCGGCGAGAGGCGTAGAAGTTGAGTTGGGGAGGCCTGGTGAACACTTTGCCATTGGCATCAACGCGACCGCACACACCTCATTGTTTAGATTTAATGAAGCTGCATGTGTGCTCCAAGCCCAAATCACACCGCTATGCTGTCTCTACAGGCAGGTAGGATACTGTATTTATGAGCTCTGCAGCTATATTCGCTTGCCAGTCGCAGAACATGTCCATGTGGTTGTTTGGAAATTTTAGGTGAACATTGTGCTGCACTGGCCACAATCCAGAAACAGCCAGGTGTTTGTTGATTTGGGTCTTGTATTGGAGATGATTGTTATGCACCCAGTGCCGAGTTACAAGACGTCGAGACAGCCCCCATTTGGGCACGTTGGAGGCAACTACTTGAAGCCACTGGTTCTCAGCAGGGAATAAGATCCCGCCTTACATAATATGTTCCCATGTTCCGTACTTAGCCCCAGTAAGCACAACACCCCAATATAATCCCCAGACCAATCCCCAATATATCGTGGTAGCTTCCAATTTATTTTCCAGTACTCCCTATGCACAAACCCAATATACCAGGTAGTTAAACTAACCCTAAACCCTACGCCCTATAAGTTATGTTGCCTTATTCCCGACTAAGAACCAGTCAGTTAAGTACCTTGTGCAGCCAAAGCCAATGAACAGATGGAGCAGAGCGAGCTGGAATTGAAAAAAGTTTGGCACGGCGCAGCACAGCAACATACCGGTTCTCAGTAGGGAATCGGGGGTTACATAGGGACAACATTCCCCTATTCCCTACTAGGAACCAGTAATTTAAAGAATCTTGTGGCTTTGCTGACAGGGCAATGTGTACCATGAATTTAAGCATCCCGCACCTTTCAGCAGCCTACTGTAAGGGCCTAAGCCTTTGGCGCGCTCCCTGAATCCTGAAAACTGAGGCCGGTGTATTTCGTCCCTGCGCGGTGCCTGGAAAACTTCAACTGCGCGATGCAGTCGGTTCATCCCTAAACCCTAAACCAATCTTAATGGGCCTGCCGGTGTCTCGTGGTGGAGAGAGGAACTCTGGCAAACCTTAGAACTTGTGTAACCCAGGACTTGCAATGTTTCTCCGTAGCATCTGCAAAGTCGAGAGGAAAGATGAGAGGGGAGTTCAGAAAAAAGCCATAGGCTAAACTCCTTAAAAGAGGTTTATAGGGCATATTATAGGGGCTATTAAAGGGGATACTTGGAGTTTAGACTAGCTCAGAAATCGTTGCTGAAGGCCCAGAGTCCTGTCTCGATGCGGTCTCGGTCGCCCAGTCCCCAAGTGCGTGACTCGGGGGGAAGGAATTACTGAATATTACTATCACTATTATCATTATGACCATTAATGTTTTATTACTTTTCTTATGATTTGTTCAATTTCTTTTACAACTCTTATCATTCTTACTATGATTAAAAGTAGCCGGATATGCTGGTTTTATGTCCGCAACGATTCTGGCTCCGGATGGAGGTCAGCTGAACATAGCTCTAGGCTCTACCTTGGATGCCGCAGATTTGCAACCACTAGGGGATCATACACTTGCGTCGAATTCGCCACTCGTGTCAGTGTTTCCGGCCTGTGCTTCACCCACATTGGATCCAGGCCCGAACAAGATGGCACCCACAATGGAAGTTAAGTAACGCTACAGATGTGTCCTGCTGCTATCGCAGTTCACATGCAGCGCTTTCAGGAATTTAGGTTGGTACTGCAAAGATACCAGCATGCTCAGTGGGGCAATCGTCTTTTCTTTGCATTGCTGCTCGTAGCTTACCGCTCAGTCCGTGGGAGTCCCACCCCCCTAACTGCCCTATCTCGCTGTCTCTGGTTGGATGAATAGGGCCCAGTGAATCAAGCAATCTGTGTTTGCTCAAAGCTGAGGCGTAACACGGTAGAGAGATTTTGTCATGCTTTGCCTGCAGCGTCATGACAGGTCGTTTGTAAAGTTAGCCCCATAACCAATCTTCGAACAACTCGCACAAGAGATCTTACAGACATTGTACGGCAGCTGTCTCCTCAAAAGCTAGATGCCATTGTTGACATATTTTGTATCTTCGTTTCCTTTCAAAAGGTTGGCACTGTCTTGGGTCTGCAATCATTGATTAGGCCCACCCTTTTGAAAACCCCCCCCATGTATCCGTCTGCCATGTGAGTAACTGCAGGGCTCGATGGTCATGAACTGGACGCACATCGGACAGGAGGTCGGGATTTCCCTAGATTAGGGGTACCTTTTTGGGGGTCCCTATAATAAGGATTATAGTATTTTGGGGACTAGATTGGGGTCCTTCTATTTAGGGAGACTACCAGGTAGCGGTACTCAGCATGGCAAGCTCATGGTTTGCTGGATCCTGATGTAGGGTTAAGGAGTTGATAGGATTTAGGGTACCCATTGGGGTAATATTAGGGATATGTTGGGATAATGGAAGATAAAATGGAAGCTACTATTTAGGGTTTAGGGTTTAGGAATGCAGGGCTTTAGGTGCACAAGGCTTTTCTTCACTGGTTGGTACAGGTTGTTAGGGGTGCTTGCTTCTGCAGCTTTCCAATAGGCCTCGCAATTTCCGCTGGTCCCGGATTTTCCCGTCTGCTTCTCAGGGAACACATGGAGAGTCTGGAGCAGCTGACAGAAGTGTTCGCGCGAGCTTGATCCATTTCCGTAAGGAATCATGTCGCTGACATGAGTCTGCTCTCAGATCCTAAGCTGGCTTCAGCAGACCTGCTCAGGCTGTTGCGACAAGTCCTGCCCCCATGCAGGTGCAGGGTGCAGAGTTGCAATGACTTTGATCCCTAGTCGGTATTATGATTGCTGCCTTTGAGTACTTTTTTTTGTGAATGGGCTGTTGCATGCGAATGTCGGAGCTGAGCCAATGAAGGAATGAACATTGAGACAGTTTGGATTGGCAGGGCACTGCGAGGAGGAGACCTTCCGACTTTGCCGCCCGGAGCAAGCAGGCAGACGCGTCCCCTTGTGGTGCGGAGTTAGAGGAGAAAATCTACCAACACGTCTATTGCAGTATGTTGTGCTGAGTCTTTGGAGGCTCGTTGGAGGGTGCAGATCCTTCATGTACCGTTCATGTAGTTTGCACTTCCGCCAAGGCCTTTTCTCCCAGAGGTCCAGACCTGTCGCCAGCTGTGAGCTTGGTGTTGACTTTAGTGTCAAGCACTGTGATTTGCACTGCAGATTCCATATCATAAGACGAAGCCCTCAATCCCAAAGATTTTGTTTCGTGGCGCTTGTTTGGTTTTCCGGCATGCAGCTAGAAATGCTGTTCTGAGCTTCAGCTGTTCGGTATTGGGCCTGTTGCCCCCGATATAACGCCCTTTCGGGAGTTAAGACCCTAAACCCTAAACCCTATATAACCCTATATGACCCTGTATAACCCTGTATAACCCCCCCTTAAGGAGTCTTAGGCTATAGTTCATATCTCTCTTCTAACCCTGTATAATCTCTCTTCTAACCCTGTATAACCAAGGGCATCAGTAGCCGCCGGTCTGATCTGTCCCCGGTGCCGTCCTCGGAGTCTGGAGCACGCGTGACACATGGTGCAAGAGAAACAAACAGAAAGGGATTTCCATTTCGTTCTCCATTTTCTTTTCCATTCGATTCT